GCAGCTGGTCGATGTTTCTAACTCTCTACCTCTCTCCCTTCCTCTCTGTAAAAAATCAATAAAATATATTTTTTTAAAAAAATAAAAAGTTTGAGGACCCCTGGTATAGGCCTTGACTATCAGGCCATGCATTTGTACTTGACCTAGAAAGTGACCAAAAAACATGAGGTCGGGAGGGAGAAAACACACAGTGAAAGCCCAGTTTCTGGAAAAGCACTCCTGAAGATAAAGGGCTGGCCACGACGGAACTGCTGTAGTCCCTCAAGACCAAAGGCAATGGAAAACCTGACCGGGAAGATGAGGATTTGAGACGTCAAAATATATGGCCACAAATTGGGCTTTCAGAATAAGACTCCAAATCATAGTCTGAGCATAACTCCCCTGAAATCCTCCAGTCTGCTTTGGTTCAGAGACTATACATTGCCCTGCAGTTATCTATAGGAGATTTGCCATCAATAGCACTTTAAAAAAAATCTGTGAGGAACCAAGATGGCAGGGTAGGTAAACGCCTGTACGCACTGCCCCCCACAACCACATCAAAATTACAACTAAAATACAGAACAACCATCATCCAGAACCGCCGGAAAGCTGGCTGAGTGAAGTCCAGAGACTAGAGAAGCACAGAAGAAAGCACCGGGGCTGGCAGGAGGTGCTGAGGCGCGGAACGGGCTGGGCCGGCACCCACGTGGGCTGCCTTTTTCATCGGGAGGGAGGTTGTCTCTGTGGAGGCCGCCCGGAGGAGCAAGGGGTCCCAGCCCCACACCAGACGCCCAGCCCAGGGTCCCAGAGCTGGGAAAAGAAGTCCCCACAACGACAGGCTGTAAAAACCAGCGGGACTGGGGCTGAGGGACACAGAGGCGGCTGGGGACCCAGCTGCTCCTCTTAAGGGGCCGGTGCATGAACTTACATGGCCGGGTTCTTCCTAGTTCCAGCGCCGGGACCCAGACGCAAACCGGGAGGAGCTGGACTGTCTGGCATCGGGGCAGGAACTCAGGGGCGGCTTTCTCCCAGGCGCGGTGCTCGCAGGGGTCACGGTTCCTGTGCTGGGACATTCCCTGCCCTGAGCTTGACTGGCAGCCCTACCTGAGTCCCCATCAACCTGGTGATTCCGAGACCCCGCCCCATCCAACTTGCAGCCCCGCCCAAGTTGTTTGCAGCAGCTTTTCCATATGAATGGCCAGTCCTGGCTCTCAAACAAGCTGCAGCTGGTGACAACGTGCCCTAAACCTATCAATAAAAGGCCCAAGACCCTGCTCTAGCACCAGCCTGCCTTGCTTCACATCTGGGCCTCCCTTCTGCACAGCAGCTCTCCTACTGTAGTCCCAACTGGTCCTCACAGCCAGTTGGCCTGGAGGTCAACTCTTCCCAGAGATGCCAACAGCAATCAAGGCTCAACTATAAAACTGTGCACACAGCCCACACAGGGACGCACCTACAGGGCCCAGCTCAGGTGACTGGGGAGGCTGAGCCACTGGGAAATAATGGAAAACTCCTCCTACCTGGTGAAAGAAATAGACTTACAAGTCCAGGAAGCGCAGAGAACCCCAAACAAGAGGAACCCAAAGAGGCCCACACCAAGACACATCATAATTAAAATGCCAAGAGCTAAAGACAAAGAGAGAATCTTAAAAGCAGCAAGAGAAAAACAGTCAGTTACCTACAAGGGCGTACCCACAGGACTGTCAGCTGATTTCTCAACAGAAACTTTGCAGGCCAGAAGGGAGTGGCAAGAAATATTCAAAGTGATGAACAGCAAGAACCTACAACCAAGATTACTCTACCCAGCAAAGCTATCATTTAGAATTGAAGGTCAGACAGATAAAGAGCTTCACAGACAAGAAAAAGCTGAAAGAGTTCATCACCACCAAACCAGTATCACATGAAATATAAGAAGGGTATTCTTTAAGACAAGGAAGAGTAAGAAGAAGAAGAAAAAGATTAAAAAATGTGAACAAATGGCAATAAATACAGATCTATCAACAGTTGAATCTAAAAATCAAGATAAACAAAGAAGCAACCTAATGAACAAAATAAACTGGTGAATAAACAGAATCCGAGGCGTGGAAGCATGGAACAGACTGACGAATCTCAGGGGGGAAGGGTGGCGGGGTGGGAAGAGATTAACCAAAGGTCTTACCTATGGACACTGACAACAGGGTGGTGAAGGCATGGGGTGGGGCGGAACCGGGTGGAGGGAGGCAATGGGGGGAAGAAGGGGGAACATCTGTAATACTCTCAACAATAAAGAATTTTTTTAATCTGACATTTTAGGAATACATAGGACACAACATACTTCAATGTTCTCCTTTCTTCAACAGGTTTATTGCCTTTTAAGAAAATTTTTGTAAAATATAAATACAAAGGCAGAGAATTTACTTACAAAGTTAAAACACAGATTTCAAACATAAACACACAATTCAGAAAATTTTAGTTTTATGTACATTTTCAAGCAACCTCAACATATTATGTTAGTTTTCAATATTTTACAGGGTACAGAAAAAAATAGCTCAAAGTCTTCTTTAAATAAGAGCATAAAATGTTTAAACATATAAACAATCCGGTTTGATGCGTGAAAACTAATTTCACAGCTTTTAAATTAGGATATAAAAGTTTCATACAATTAGTTGTTGTGTGTGGATATGGTTTGAATTTATATTACACGCCACTGGATTGCATCCAATAGCATTTACCTGACCCGAGCAGGTACTCTGTAAACAAAACATAAAGTTACAACATCACCGAATTCACCCCCAAACCAACCACACAGTTGCAACCACACTACATGGTTGCGGCCTCGGCCATCCATCGGAGCTTTTGTGTGAAATTAAGTCAAAGTGTTGCGCTCCCTTTCCTCATTTTTTTTCTCCTTAAAAAAGAAAAGCAAAGAAACAAATCTTCCAAGAAAAAAAAAAAACACAAACATATCCCAAAGCGTGTGTGCATGGACAAGTAAAGGAACGTTATAACAACTTCATAAAAACTGACTTAAAAGTTTAAAAAGAAAACAAAAACACGTTGCTAAGTCCTTCCGACTGGGGCCGTTTCTCTTATATAAAGAAGAGATATTTCCATATGTAATAGTGTCCTTTCTTTACAGAAATAGCCGTATTATGACACATATGCACAAGGATTAACACTATGACACACTGTACAGGCGGCCGGGCTGGCTCACCAGTAGTCGTCCGAGCCCGTGTCGCTGGGGTGCAGCCACTCCACGGTGGAGCCCAGCAGGCTCTGCAGCTCGCCCGTGAACTCGACCAGATCCAGGAGCTCCTTGCTTTCGGGGTTAAAGGCCTCCAGGTCTTTGGAGCAAGAGAACAGGAGACTGGCTGAAACCTGCCGGTAGAACTCGGCCTCGGCGATGGTGACGATCTCCACGTTGGGGAAGTTGCAGCGGAAGATCCGGGAGGACATCTTCAACTTCTTCAGCACGTCCGACAGCAGCAGCCAGTTGCGAGGCCTGCGAGGGCAAGGAAAGCCGTTTGAGCGCCTGGCAACGTGCGAAGCGTTACCTGCCACCCTGGGAGCTCGGTCCCTGGTGGGACAGGGCCACTCCCTCTGCCTGGACACCACTCCCCCCAGCACTTCCCGCCCAGAACAGGGAATCTAGTTCTTGCCACTCTCTTCTGGCTGCATCTCCATTTATCAAGAGGCCACTTAGGGCCCGGCCCGCGTGGCTCAGTGGTTGAGTGTGGACCTAAGAACCAGGAGGTCACGGTTCAATTCCCGGTCAGGGCACATGTCCGGGTGGCGGGCTCGACCCCCAGTGAGGGGCGTGCAGGAGGCAGCCAATCCAGGATTCTCTCTCATCACGGATGTTTCTCTCTCTCCCTCTCCCTTCCTCTCTGACATCAATACAAATACATTAGGAACAAACAAATAAAAGAAGCCCCTTCGGGAGGACCAAGCAACGCAGGCAGAAGCTGAGCAGCAGTTGTGAAGGAGCCGCATCACAAACTGCTGCGTCACAGGAGCTGATGGAAACTGACTCAGGTCCTCGCTCTCCAAGGGAGGAGGCCAGGCACAGCCGCCTCTTTGATTTCTCCTCCCTCCACCCTCACAGATAGAGCATCATGAACACAGGCGGGCTCTCCTTCCTTTCCCACGCCTGCACCCCCAGCCCGCAGCGCGCCTGCGGACGTGTGCTACATTCCTCACGCACGTCCTCGCCACCCTCTACGGTTCCTATTGCTAATACGACGTCACTGTGTTTACCACCTCGGGGCCCGAGGAGGGTGTTACTCATTCAGCACCATGTGGACACACAGCAGAGAACACAGTCTCCTCACAGGTCCGCCACAGGCCTCGGGCACAGGGGCAGTGCCCGGCCACGGGAGCCAGACGGGATCTAACCAAATCTGATGACACACAAGAGCCCGGGCGCCTCACAGTGCTTTTCCTCACCGGATACAAGAAGGGCATGTCCCCGATGACATAGGTCAGGGGACCGCAGGGCCCTGGAAGGCTCCTTGGTGGCCTGTTGGAGGGACTTAGGATCCCTTTCCAAAGAGTTTAGTGACTGAAGGCTCCAATAGTGTAAACTTCCAGTCACTGACTTCCAGGTCCTTTGAGCTCTGGGGGTGTATTCTTTTTTTAAAAAAATATATTTTTATTGATGTCAGGGAGGAAGGGAGAGGGAGAGAAACATCAATGATGAGAATCATGGACCGGCTGCCTCCTGCACGCCCCACACTGGGGATAGAGCCCGCAACCCAGGCCTGTGCCCTGACCGGGAATTGAACCGTTATCTCCTGGTTCATAGGTTGACCCTCAACCACTGAGCCACACCAGCCAGGCTCTGGGGGTGTGTTCTGATGAGGGCAGTTACCAACCATGCTGTGGCCCCACCCCCACCCCTCTTTAGGGAAAGATCTGCATTTTGAGTTTGAGGGACACTTTGGAATTCCCTCCCCCACC